AGGAAGAGGAGGAGGAGGAGGAGGAAGAGGAGGAGGAGGAGGAGGTGGAGGAGGAGAAAGAGGAGGGGGGGGACGACATCGTCCAGCCCGCCCGTCGCGGCCCCTCCCCTGGGAGGACCCCGACGTGGATGCGATCTTCCGCCTCACGAGGCCCTTGCCCTGCTTCTTCCAGGGCTTGCCCGAGGGGGTGCCAAAGCTGCTGGCGGCGCCCACGGGGCCCCGAAGGGCGGGGGGGGAGTGTATGAGGAAAAGGAGGGAAGAGGAAGCAGGGAGGGAGGGAGGGAGTGAGGGAGGGAGGGAGGAGGAGGAGGAGGAGGAGGAGGAGGAGAAGGAGGGAGGACGGAGGAGGAAGGAGAGAGGAGGGAGGATGCTGATGATGCGGATGGTGATGGTGGATGTCGTTGTGGAGGTCGAATGGGGCAGAGCAAGAGGAGGAGGAGGAGGAGGAGGAGGAGGAGGAGGAGGAGGAGGAGGAGGAAGAGTAGGACGAGAAGGGGGCTCGAGTAGACGGATGCTGATGCTTAGCGATGACGATGCTGCTGATGATGCTGTTGCTGATGATGATGCCGATGATGATGCCGATGATGATGATGATGATGATGATGATGATGCTGATGATGATGATGATGATGATGATGATGATGACGGTGCTGCTGCTGATGATGATGCTGATGCAGATGATGATGCTGATGATGATGACGACGTCGATGATGATGCTGACGATGATAACGGTGCTGCTGCTAATGATGTTGATCCTGATGCTGATGTTGATGCTGCTGCTGATGATGCTGATGATGATGATGATGCCGATGATGATGATGATGATGCTGATGATGATGATGATGATGATAATGATGATGATGATACTGATGCTGCTGATGATGATGATGATGATGATGATGACGGTGCTGCTGCTGATGATGCTGATGATGATGCTGATGCTGCTGCTGGTGCTGATCAAGATGATGCTGATGACAGGGACGATGGTGACGTCGATTATTTTGGTGACGTGATGATGGCGGTGGTGGTGATGACGATGGTGATTATTATGATGTTGCCGCGGATGTTAATGTTGATGAAGGTGATGATGCTGCTGCTGCTGATGATGTCGATGCTGATTATGCTGATGATGATGCTTGATAACTGCTGCTAGCTGATGCTGCTGCTGATGATGATGAGGCTGATGAGTTGAGGATTGGGGACGGGAAGCAATGGGATGATGATTATGATGATGATGATTGATGATGATGAATCTGATGATGCTGATTGATGATGATGAATGATGCTGATGAATTGCTGCTGCTGCTGATGATCATTCTGATGATATGATGATGTGATAGATGCTTGAGCTGGATGCTGATGCCTGATGATGATGATGATGCTGATGATGATGATGATGATGATGATGATGGATGAGGAATGATGATGCTGATGATATGATGAATGATGAATGGCTGATGATAATGATTGATGAATGAATATGATGAATGATGATGATTGATGAATGCGCGAACCTGCATGATTTTTGGAATATGATGATGATGCGCAAAGTCGCGCGTGTGGTTCTAGTACGTGTATGTGTATACTTGTGTGTGTGTGTGCAGGTATACATGTATGTAGATCTAATCGATTGCACTGGTTTGCGCAGCCGTGCCACATTTTCACAGCTGGAAACGGCTTAGTTTTTGACATGGGGCTCTCGCCTGAGACGTCCCCAGCACAGGTGCCCAGCACAGGTCCTCTTCGTCGTCGTCCTCCTCCTCCTCCTCGTTCTCCTCGTTCTCCTCCTTCTCCTCCTCCTCCTCCTTCTCCTCCTCCTCCTCCTCCTCCTCCTCCTCCTCCCTCCTCCTCCTCCTCCTCCGCCTCCTGCCTCCTCCTCCTCCTCCTCCTTTCTTGTCTTCCTCCTTCCCCCTCCCCCTCCCCCTCCTCCTCCTCCTCCTCCTCCTCCTCCTCCTCCTCCTCCTTCTCCTCCTCCTCCTCCCCCTCCTCCCCCTCCTGAGTGCAGCGTCGTGCAACCATGGCACGGACGAAGGACGGGTCTTTTTCAGCACGGGGCCCTCGCTCTGGGTGTCCTCACGTGCTTGATGACAACAGGCATTTGCACGTGCGGCAGCAGCTGCGCGGATGGAGGACCGATCTCTTGATTGCATGGTGGGGGCTCTCGCTGAGGATTTTTCTCCTCCTCCTCCTTCCTCCTCCTCCTCCTCCTCCCGCCGCGCTCCGCCACACTCCTCTCCTCCTCCTCCTCCTCCTCCTCCTTCCTCCTCCTCCTCCTGCTCCTCCTGCTCGTCCTCCTCCTCCTCCTCCTCCTCCTTCCTCCTCCTAAAACCTGAACGAAAATCACAGCTGCACGGAGGGAGGGCGGCTCCTTGTCAAAAGGGGGGCTCACGCGTGCGACTCGCTCGAAGTTGTCCTCCAGAAGCGTGAGCCGGCGCAGCCACTGCACAGATGGGGGGGGGGGCTGCTCCTCGGCAGAATCGGGGCTCCCGCTGAGTACCTCGCGGAGCTTCCTCTGCTCCTGCCATGCCGCAGCGGGGCTCCTGCCAGGGTGCTCGTCCTGCGAGGGGGCGCCTCCTGCAGCGACCGAGAAGATCCAGGGAATCGCGAGGAGGGAGCCCTTGACTGGAGGGCGTGTTGTAGCACCGCCGATACATCTCATGCTCACTTCTTCCCTTCCTCCCTCCCTCCTCTCCCTCCCTTCACCGAAACGTACCCTCTGCGTACATAGACCTTCTCTGGCGCATGTACCATGACCAGACAGCCGAGGTCCGCACTGACACCACCAGTGAATCATTCGACCTCCAACGTGGCACAAAGAAGGGGACCTTTTGAGATCATTATTGTTCAGCGCACTACTCCAACACGTACTAGCACCCACCACCGATTCCAGAGTGGCGAAGACGACGCCAAGACGCCGAACTTGGTCACACCGAAACGTCGACAGTCACCAACTTTGGTTCGCAGACGACATCTTGCTGGTAAGCCAACCACAGCCTAATCTAGAAACACACCTGTCTGGTTTCATCACCTCAGCCAAGTAACGCGGATTGGAATTGCACCCGACTGCAATCAACATCGTGACCATTCAGCCTCGGCACTCCGACATGTTGGCCAGAGTAGTTGGGATGGAAATCGAAATATTGCCACGAACCATCACCATCACCTACTTTGGCCAGACCAGTATTTTCCACAGTGCCCCCGAGACCGAAGTAAGACACCGGATCCGAGCAGCATGGGCGTGCTTCAGCGACCTCCGACAAGAACTCACCAGCAACCACTACCAGCACTACCCATTGAAATAATACTGATATTATACATAGGCGCCGTCTTACCTATGGCGTACGGCGCAGAAGCGTGGATTCTGATAGCCTGTCAAACAGCAGCTACGCCGAGCACAACGACGGCTGGTCAGACTGATGCTTGGAACACCAAGAAGACGCACGGCAGTACTGCCGACGCCGCACCACAATACAAAGACAGACCAGAACAGCGGCCATGACACCAGCAACGCCGTCCTAAACGACTCCAGCGACCCCGACGTTTCCGCAACCCACCTGCCCGCCAGCCAGATGCGCAGGACGAGGTGAGTAATGACGAGGGTACACAGTTGGGCACTACAGTCGGGGCGTTGACCTAAGGAACCCTAAATAAGGAACGAGGCCGCCTTTTTCCATAAGTTAAACTTCGACTTCCTGTCGAAAACATAAGGAATACCTGAGGCAAGCTGTGAAACACTTGAGGAACGCGGAGCCCCTCCCCAACGAAAAGGGTTCCTTCTTCGGGGCCCCGACTGTATCCAGGATGACGACGTCGAGCTGTGGTCCGCCTTCCTGCGCCTGAGCACGCGCAGGGCAGAAGCACCGGTGCTCAAGCACGACATGCCTGACGTACTACAGTCGGGGCCCCGAAGAAGGAACCCTTTTTGTTGGGGAGGGGCTCTGCGTTCCTCAAGTGTTTCGCAGCTTGCCTCAGGCTTTCCTTATGTTTTCGACAGGAAGTCGAAGGTTAACTTATGGAAAAAAGGGGCCTCGTTCCTTATTTAGTGTTCCTTAGGTCAACGCCCCGACTGTACTACACGTCCACCGCCTCACGGTCTTGCGATGGGCGAATACTTTGGCCCGCCACGCGCCGACGCGCTGGACTCAAAGAGCGCTGACTTGGGACCCCAACTTCGATACTCGACAGCCAGGACGCTGGCAACATGGGAGGCAAGCGAAATGATGGGAAGACGACGTCCGGAAATATTTGCACATCTTGGGCGGGCAATGCTGCGACGCCGACGCCGAGCGGGACCATATCAGGGCAGCGACCAGGCCGAGACGGCACGAGCAAAACAGCAAACGACCTACGATGGTTATCGGCGGCAGGAAGCAGTGAGTGGTGGCTTTCACATGAATCTGCTTACGCACCACGTCCTTGCCACCACAGCCTCCACGACATGCCCTGATGGGCACGGGCGGGCTCCCTCGCGGAGCGCGCACGACTCTGGCGTTCTTTTTTTCTTTCTTCTCTGTCTATTCGTCCGTCTTTCCCTCCCTCCCTCCGGGCTGCGCGCTCCCTCCGCAGGGCCTTCTCTTCAGCAGGGACGCTGCGGCAACGGGGTGCGACGTCGGTCCGGTTGGGCTGGGCAGGGGGTCCCGTCGACTCCCCGGGGAGGGTCTTCGTTCCCCCCCAGACTGCTGGTCTGCAGTGGTGCTTCACGAACACGAACGCTGCTCTGATGGCGCGGGCTGGGGGACAGGGTGAAGCCCCCGGCAGTTGAGATGCGGACTCCCTGCCGGCCCATCCCACTCCTGACGGCCGCTGTACCCAACATCGCGGTCTCTCGTGGCATAACATGTGGCCATGGACTTGCCCGCCTGGAGGCAGAATGGCCGGTGTGTGGATGTTCCGTCGCGGGGGCCTCCCCCTGCATGGCCAGCCTCACAATGCATCCGTGCTTGAGGATGCGCACGCCGCCCTATGGGCCACCCCAGCCAGCCAGTCTCCTCCGCTCCCTTTGCCCCCTCTCCATCCTCCTCCTCCTCTCTCCTCCTTCAATTACTCCTCCTTCCTCCTCCACCTCATCCTCCTACCTCATCATCTCTCTCCTCCTCCCGCATCCCTCCTCCTCCGCCCTACCTCCTCCTCCCCCTCCCCCTCCCCTCCTCCCTCCCCCTCCCCCTCCTCCTCCTCCCCCTCCTCCTCCTCCTCGTCGTCCTCCTCCTCATCCCTCTCAGGCGGTCGTGAGGGAGGCGGGTGGGCGTCTGGGAACACCGCACCGCAAAGAGGTGCCGCCGCAGCTGTTCCTGCCGTACAACGCGCAGGAGACCCCCGCCACGACGGGGGGAATGTGTGGTCCGGGGGGCGGCGGCATGTGTGACGGCAGGGGCGGGGGAGGGGCGGCAGAGGGATGGATGGCGTGATGAGTTGATGGAGGGGAGGGGAGGGGAGGGGAGATGGGGAGGGAAGGAGGGGATGTGCCCCCGTTGCGCCCGCATGCGGAAACTCGGAAAGAGGGCTGGAGGGAGGGATCTTTGTAGAGGCGTGGGGTAATGGAGTAGCGAGGAGGAGGGCGGGGGCGAGGGAGGATGGGGAGAGGAGGAGGGAGGGAGGGAGGGAGGAGGGAGGAGCGAGAAGATGAGGATGGATGGATTGAGGGGGAAACTATACACAGTACAGGGGGAAACTATACACAATACACCTTAGACAAACCTCAATCAGTGGATGGCTTGAAAAATAGTGAAATGGATATTGACATCGATTGCGAGATCTGTAGAGATATCGATCGTGTAATCGATAGTGAAGACGATTGTAAGGTCGATCGTGAGACCGATATTGAAGTCGATTCAATGAGAGTGATCGTGAGATCTATTGGGAGATCGATCGTGAGGTCGACTGTGAGATCGATAGTGAGATCGATAGAGAGCTGGGTAATGAGATCGATGGTGAGACCGGTCGACATGAAGATCTACTTGGAACCCATGGACCCAGGAACCCCGCCGCCCACCGAGATCGGCCAGGAACCCGGAACCCGCAACCTGGGAACCCGGAGCCAGGAACCTGGGAGCTTGGCAGCCCACCGAATTCGGCCGCCATTTTGTGGTGCTAAATCCTTCAAGATCCGCAGGAGGAGGAGGAGGAGGAGGAGGAGGAGGAGGAGGAGGAGGAGGAGGAGGAGGAGAGGAGGAGGAGGAGGAGGAAGGAGGAAGAGGAGGAGGAGGAGGAGGAGGAGGAGGAGGAGAGGAGGAGGAGGACAGGGAGAGGGAGGGTCAGGGAGGGAGGGAGGAGGGAAGGGGAGGGAGGGGGGAGGAGGGAGGAGGGGAGGGAGGGAGGAGGAGGGAGGAGGATGTAGGACCAGGAGGAGGGAGGAGGAGGAGGAGGAGGAGGATGGAGGAGGAGAGGAGGAGGAGGCGGAGGAGGAGAAGGAGGCGGAGGAGGAGGAGGAGGAGGAGGAGGAGGAGGAGGAGGAGGAGGAGGAGGAGGACGAGGAGGAGGAGGAGGAGGAGCTGCTGCGCATGCGGTCCGCCGCCTCGGCCTGCTCGGGTCGGCCTGCTGCGCGTCGGGGGCCCAGCTGGCATGCACGGGCCACGGCCACGCGCGCGCTCCGTGCGGGCTGGTGCTCGTGTCGCACCCTCGCGCCGAGCACCCCCCCGAATGCTTCGATAGCAAATGCTTTGGTGTCTACCCTCTTAATTCCGTCTTTGGCGTCGACTCGCGCCGATTAGCGTCTGGGGGTCGATGAGATAGCGCCGATTCAGCATCGATTAGCATTGATTTAGCGTTGATTAGCGTCGATTCGCGTTGATTTGGCGTCAATTTGGGTCGATCCGCAAGAGCCGGCAAGATGGTATGGGAGGCTCCCATGAATTGCCACCGAAGAATGTTGCAGGTCGCGCGGTGATACATTCGGCTCGATCTCACGGGAGCAGCACATCCTGTTGTTTTCTTTCTCTCTCCTTCTCCCTTCCTCGCCCCTGTCCTCATCCCTGCTGTCGCCGTCGCCGTGGAGCTATCTCCTCCTCCTGCTTCCCCCTCTTCCCTCTTCCTCGTCTCTCCTTCCCCCCTTCCGTGCCCCTCCCTCCTTCCCTGCTCTCCCAGGGGCCGGTCTGATCGGACCAAGATCGCTTGCTTGCTTGCTTGCTTGCTTCCTTGCTTGCTTGCTTGCTTGCTTGCTTGTTCGCTCCTCCGCCTCCTTCTCCTCCTCTGGCTTCCTCCCTCCTCACTCTTCCTCCGCTTCTTCTTGTTCTTCTTGTTCTTCTTCTTCTTCTTCCTCCTCCTCCTCCTCCTCCTCCTCCTCCTCCTCCTCCTCCTCCTCCCCCTCCACATCCACATCTCCACTTTCCGCACTCCAATCTTCATCCTTCTGCTTCCGTCGTTCCTCCATCCGGATTCCTCTTCTGCCCTCTGTCCTCCGCCCTCCCCCCCTCCCCCTTCCCCTCCCCTCGTGCGACGGTGCACCTCATTCCCCTCCCCTCCTCCTCCTCATTCCACTCCTCCTCCTCCCTCCTCCTCCTTCCTCATTCCTCCCTCCTCCTCCTCCTCCTCCCTACCTCCTCCTCCCCCCTTCTTCCCCTCCCATCCTCTCCTCCTTCCCCTCCCCTCCTCCCACTTCCCTCCTCCCCCGCCCCTTCCTTCCTCCCCTACCCTCCTCCTGCCTTCCTTCCCCTCTCCTCCTCCCCTCGTGCGACGGTGCACTTTTTCCCCTCCTTCCCCTCCCCTCCTGCTTCCCCCTCCTTTCACTGCCCTCGTGCGACGGTGCACCTCCACGCCGACGCCAGCGACGGACGACAAAGGCGGCGGTCGGCGGCGGCGGGCGACGGCGACGACAACGACGACGCAGGCGACGGTCCACCTCTACGACGGGTTCTGGGGACTGCTGCTGCCCGTCACGGTGCACGGGCGCGTCTCGGACATCTGGCGCGCCTACCTGGCGCAGCGGCTGCTGTGGGACGTGGGCCAGGCCTTCGGGGCCCTGCGCCAGCGGTCGGCGCCGTCGCCAGCGGTCGTCGCCGTCGCCGTTGCCGCTGGTCGTCGTCGTCGTCGTCGTCGTCGTCCTCGCCGTCGCCGTCGCCGTCGCCGTCGCTGTCGCCGTCGCCGTCGCCGTCGCCGCTGTCGCCGTCGCCGTCGCCGTCGCCGCCGCCGCCGTCGCTGCCGCCGTCGCCGTTGTCGCCGAGCGTGCCGACCGCCGCCAACGGGATGGCTCTTCGGCCTGCCAGAAAGGGGGCCCCCGAGGGCCCAGGGTCACGCGCGGGGGCGCGGAGGAGACCGCGCTTGGCCGGAGCGGCGCCCTGCAACTCTCGACTGCACGCGGGCGTGTCGGTCTGGCGGCCTCTTGCAGCTCCAGGCGCGTAGACGTGACCTTCCGTCTTCTTGTGGGGCAGCCTCCCAGGGGAAGGGGGCTCCTCCATCCAGCCACGCGCAGAGTGGGGCATGGGGGAGGGGGGAAGGATTCTTAGAAGCAGCCCTGCTCCTAGGAAGGCATGGGCCTTGTCTGCAGGTGTAAGGCCAGCGCCCTCTAAGAAGCAGCCTCCTTCGAAGAAGCATTCCCCCTTCCCCCTGCCCACTTTTGCGCGCCGCTCCTCCATGCTTCAGCTGGCGCCAAGATGGGAGGATGAGGAGGGGGTGAAGGAGGAGGCGGAGGAGGAGGAGGAAGAGGAGGAAGAGGAGGATGAGGAGGAGGAGGAGGAGGAAGAGGAGGAAGAGGAGGACGAGGAGAAGGAGGAGGAGGAGGACCAGTGGAAACCCAAGAGTCATCAACGATGTTGGAATTAACCCTCCCTCCAAACTCCCTCTTCATAGGCCCCATACAACGGTGCATTTCCATTGAGTGAACTGCCTCGTTGGAAGACAACCGTTTGAAGACCATGAAGCGTGCCAAAAAATTGTTCTCTGGATTTCAACGCCACGGATCAACCTGACGTTTGCGTTTTGACGATGCAGAATCGTGCCTGAAAACCATTTGTGGGGTTTCAGCACAGCGAATCAACATAACTGTTGCGCCTACATCCTCCAGAATCCTTCCAAAACACTTTTTTTGGTATGTTTATCATGGGAGCCCGTGAAACTCTTGCACTAGAAGAACGAATGTGCGCGGCGCTAAGGCGAGAGCCACATTTTGAAAACCACCCGCCATCAATCCGTGAAGCTCTTGCAAATCTTTACAACGAATGGCGCGGCGCTAAGGCGAGAGCCACATTTTGAAAACCACCCGCCCTCAAGACGTGAATCTCTTGCAGATTTTTGCAACGAATGTGCGCGGCGCTCAGGCGAGAGCCACATGTTGAAACCACCCGCCCTCAAGACGTGAATCTCTTGCAGATTTTTGAAACGAACGTGCGCGGCGCTCAGGCGAGAGCCACATTGTAAAACCACCGGCCCTCAAGCCGTGAAGTCCTTGCAGATTTTTGAAACGAATGTGCGCGACGCTAAGGCGAGAGCCACATTTTGAAAGCGACCCGCCCTCCATCCGTGAATCTCTTGCAGATTTTTGTAAATGTGCGCGACGCCAAGGCGAGAGCCACATTTGGCCGCTCTGCGGGACCCCCTGACAGCGTCGCCCCCGAAAGGTCTTCTTCTTCTTCATCTTCTTCTTCAACTTAGTGCTAGTCGTATACCTGGTTTCTACAGTTGTCGTTGCTGCTTTTGTCCTTCTTTCTCTCATGGCTCTTCTTGTTCTTATTGCAGTGTGTTTGTTTTTCTGTCGCTTCGTGACTGAGGGCGGTCTTTGTTTCGTGACGGAGGCGCCCGTGCCAGGTGGTCTCCTTCCAGGAGGCACACGTCGTGCACGACAGGGTCGCGCACGACTACCTGAAGGACTTCCAAAGCGAGCAGGACCCCCACCGACGCGGATATGTCCGACCCTGCCCAGGAGTCACTGTTTCTTCGAGGTGTTTTTCCTCACCCTGGGGATTCGTTCCCTAGGCCCTCCCCAGAGGACAGCGAATTCCAGGCCAGGATGGTTTGGGACGAGCCCCCCCCTGAAGGTGTCAGTTTTTCGAGCAACATTTTTGTTGACGGAAGTTGCCACAGGCATGTGATCAGCGAACTCTCTAGAGCGGGTTACGGGTTGGCTTTGGTCTTTGATGAGGGGCGTAGGCTTGGTGTTCTGTCTGGGCCCGTGCATGCCCGCTTTATCCAGACGTCGCAGTGTGCAGAGTTTGCTGGCATTGCGCGCGCGGGGCTCGAGGTTGAAGCCCCCTCCACCATGATTGTGAGAATGTGGTCTCCCTTTGCAGTAAGGCTAGCGAAGTGCAGCTCGGTTATAAGAAGCCCTTCGGTGGTCTAATGATGATGTTTTGGCTGGGTGGAAGGTGGGTGGACGGTGTTTCGAAGGTCAAAGCCCAGGAGGACCCGCTGGAGGCGGGCATCTCAGAGCGAGAGCGCTGACTGAGGACGGGCACCGACGAGGCCGACAAGGCCGCCAAATTGGGTGCATCTCTCCACCCGCGTCCGCCGGAGGCAGAATTACAGCAGCTGGATTTTCAGATACGTGTCTCGCAGGCAGTCTGTGCGCTCGCGGCCAAGATACTGCCTGTTTGGCCGAGAATTGATTTGTCCGTTTGCCCATGGGCCCCTCCCCCCAAAAGGCCTTCGGCCCCAAAGGGACCAGGTCACGCGTGGGCTTGGGAGCTCATCGGGGATCGACCTGGGTTCTGGAGGTGCCAACAATGCTTGCTCTCTCAGAAAGGTCCCAAGTTTCCGCCGCGAGGGGAGTGCCCCAATGTCTCCAAGCTCGATGGGCCGTCCCTGAGGGCTCTGGGGCATCAAGCGGTTTCGTTTTTAGTTTCGGATGGTTCCTTCATTACAGCTTGTCGGAAGTGCCACTCGTATGCTACTATTAGCTATGTAAGAGGGCTGGCTAAATAATGTAGCAACCCCACGGCTAAGCAGACCTGGTCTTTCAATCATATATGCAAAGGCGTCCATCCGACACGCAAGGGCGTGTCGATAGAGCCTGTGCCGTGGAGGTAGGTGGACATGCGGGCCAACACAGGGGATCCTCTCCATCAGTGGGAGATCGCCTGGTGATGGTGCCACGCGTCCGCCTTTGTCGTCACCTTGCAGTTCATGTCAAACTAATCCTCCTCCTCCACCTCCTCCTCCTCCTCCTTCCCCCCCTCCTCCTCCTCCTCCTCCTCCTCCTCCTCCTCCTCCTCCTCCTCCTCCTCCTCCGTCTCCTTTTCCTCCTCCTCCTCCTCCTCCTCCTTTTCCTCCTCGTCCTCGTCCTCGTCCTCCTCCTCCTCCTCCTCCTCCCTCTCCCGCCTGTTCTGTATTTGCTGGAATCCGTGGCTTGTCACGTCGCCCCCCCTCGGCGACAACGTTAGGGCGGGATAGGCTCAGGTGGCCCCTCGGGAGGGGAACGGATCGGGCTCGAGGTTTTCGGGCGCGGCCCTCAAGCCTCGGGCTGCTCTGCAGCAGCCGTGCCTCGCGGAGAACGTCCCGGGGATGCTCGGATCGTCCCGAACGGCCGCCAGAGACCAGAGTTTTGACCCGAAAACGGGCGAGGTATCGACGATTCCGACATACGTCCACGAGGCCTCAAGACAGCCCCAAGACGGTTCCAAGCGCCTTTTCGAACTGCTCAAGGAAGCGTCCACGAAGCTAACAATCCTTCAAAAACCTAAGGAACTGGAGCTTTCGACCCCATCCCTCGAAGCGGGTCTTCATCCCAGGCCGTCCTCTGATTGCCCAAGCGGGCTTCGCCACGCAATGCTCAAGCTCAGAGGAAAAGCTGGCAAGTCTCGATGGTCTCGTGAAGCCAGGGGTGCGGACTTGGAAGAGGTGGATGGCATCTGGACGTCTTCCATACTACTCGGCAGTCCGACCGAACATCTGTCAAAGAGGCGGTCCCTGACTGAACAGGTTGGCAGGGCTGGGCAGGAGGATGACGGTGCGGGGGAACGATCGTCGGGGACTGGCTCAGGGGGAAACCCTCGACCTGGAGACTATCTTGAGCCTTATTCTGCTATCTTTAGCGATCTTGGAAACCACCTTGGGCTCTCTGAGGCCCTCTCAGGGCCATCGTGGGCCATGTCGGACGCTCCAATGAGTCGCGCCTCCCCTCTCTCCCAGGCCCCGGGGAGGGGGTAGGGGAAGGGGTCAGGACCCCCCTTCTGCCCGCAAACCGTCTCGCTCACTCCCACCCGCCCTCCCAACACAAACGTATCACCGGAGTCTCTGCATGCCACCTAGGAACGCCACACATTCCATGTGCCCCACGGATTCCAGGTGCACCAGGCACCCTGGAGGCCCAGGCGTGGCATCGCGGGCAGCAAGGCGGCTCTGTCAAAAACCGATGCAAAATGGTCGCTGGGCGACTGCGCTTGCTGCAGATTTGGAGGCAAAGTGTATTTTGTATGGTTTTCTTTGACGGATGGTTGGCCTGCATGCATCAAGCAGTATGCCGGCACCCCGCTGTCCATGTCAACGACCAACGCAACGTGGTCGCCGGGCGCCTGCGCATGCTCCAGATTTGGAGGCAAAGTGCATTTTTTGTTTATAGGTAATGATGTGGTCTGATTTATCCGGATTGGCTGCCGTTCGCCGGGGGGAGGGGGGGTTAATTAATGATCAACCACTCCACCGAGCGTGGGAAGGAAGGGTTTTGCCAGAGAGAGAATGACACTCGTTAAACTACCTACACCCAGATGGCTGGTGGGATTTCCAGCGAACTGTCTCGGTCCCCCTCCCGTCCTCTCCTATACCCCCCCTTCTGGGCCCCCTTCTCCTTCTGGGTATACTTTCGATTTAGAGCGCTGATCCTGCTTCTGCCCGAGAAGCTCAAAGCCAACTCGATACCGCACAGTCGCCGCCTGCTCGTTGTCGGTACAGGGGCCCTACATTCCCCGAGTAGCTCCCAGGACCGCCAGTTCTTGAGCGAATGATGTCGTGCGGGGTACCTGCTTAGCAGAAGTTGTGTGCGCATTGCCCGCTGCAACGTGGCATGCCTATGGCCCAGTGCCCCGTGTCCGCATCGCACCCTGCCTGCGTTTATCTTACACTGTGGTTTGCAGCTTCCCTCCTCGCTCTTTTATTGTCCGAACTCTTGCTAGGCTGAATCTTCATCACGTCATTGTCATTCGTGGTTTGCGGTTTTGTGCAGTGGCGGTGCTGAGCCGATCGTCTGTAAACGGTGTAAGCGATCTCGAACACTCCTACGACGAATATCCGCCGCCCCCTGCCTTTCTGGACATGCCGATGTGTTCGAACGTTGGTCTAACGCTTGGCCGAGCTATTGTTCTATGTGCTTCCCTTGCCGTTGTGGAAACCCTCAGGGGAACACTGGGGGAAGGAAGAGAGTGGAGGAGGAGAGGGAGGAAAAGGAGGAGGAGGAGGAGGAGGAGAAGGAAGAGGAGGAGGACGAGGAGGAGGAGGATGAAAAGGATGATGATGATGCTGCTGCTGCTGATGATGATGATGATGATGATGATGAGGAGGAGGAGGAGGAGGAAGAGGAAGAGGAGGAGGAGGAGGAGGAGAAGGAGGAGGAGGAGGAGGTCTCATGAGGCCCTCTCGGGGCCTTCAGGGCTTCTAGGGAGCATCTGAGGGGCCGTCCGGGGACCTCATGGAGGAGTTCTGGGGGCCTCCCGGGGCCTTTGAAGGGCCTCTTGGGAACCTCTTGGTGGCCTCATGGGCGTTCAGGGTGTGTGTGTGTGTGTGTGTGTGTGTGTGTGTGTGTGTTGAGGGCATGTTGGGGATCTTGGGAGCTATCTTGGACGGAAAACCTTTCGTGGTTCGTTCGGTTGTCCCCCTCTTGGGCCCCTCTTGGGGCTCTTGGGCCATCTCGGAGGCCGTCTTGGGGCCCTCTGGGGTTCGTTGTGGGGGAGTTCACGTTGGCAGGTCTCCCAGAGATATCCGCCTCCAGAGCTTATTCGCTCGTGTCCTACGCATTCGTAGCGATTCTGGGATAGAATCGCGGCAAGGGATCAAAAGTTTGCTATTTTTAAACTTGTTTTTCTGCCGTCTTAGGGCCGTCTTAGGGCGTTGGATGCCCGAGCGGTGAAAACAGTAAAATCGTTCATCAACCAAAGGGAACATATGACTTTGGCTTCTTGGGACCCCCTGAAAGATCAGTTTTGAGCCTTCTTGGAGCGTTTCATAGACTTCTTACGCCGTCCTCGGGCCATTTTGAGCCTTGCGGGAAGCTCCTGGGCCGTCCTGGGGCCTCTTACACCGTCCAGGCGGCCTTTGGGAATCCTCGCGAGCCGTCCTGGGTCTCTCTGGACTCAGGGAAAGTCGTGCGAGTCCCCCCCATGGTCACGTGGGAACTCAGTGCCTCGCGGCACGGTGCTTGCAATTTTGGTGTCTGGGCTTGTGCCCAGCTTGCGAAAGGCTTCACCTCATGCGTGATTGCCCTGTCAGCGCGAGGTGTTGTTCTGGATGGAGCTTTGTCTCGCCGCGTTGAACAAGTTGAAGCACCTGCCATACCTTTTTTTGGTGATGAGTAACGAGCGGAGGAGTCGAGCGAAGTAGGTCTGGGTCTGGGCCTTTCCGATGACGGGCGGAGGAGGCGAGCGAGGCTGACGAGCGGAGAAGCGGCAGAACAGGTCGAGCAATGTTTTCGGTTGTTGTGACGAGCAAGGGAGGTCTGCCCGGACACCCGACGATGTGTTTCGATGCGCGGCCCCAGAGGTCCCGACCGCTTCACTTGGGGTCGTTCTCCGTTCTGGGTCCACTTTGGATGTTCCCGGAGCTCGATGACGGGCTCAGGAGGGCCGAAGACGAAGATCGGAGGTGGACAGACCTCCTACCCTGACACGTCGGTTAGCGAATTGGCCGTTGTCGGTTTGCGAGGGCGTCGCGGCCGTCGTTTCTGCGGGCCCAGGCCCGTCGATTTCGGCCCCAGGCCGTTTTCACTAAAGGGAGGTTTACTAAAGGAAGGTTTGTCCACCGCCGAGCGAGGGAGTCCCCTGGTCCGCCCACCCTCAGGAGGGAAAGAAACACACAGACACAATTAATCGTCGACTCCCAGGAGAATATTGGAAAAGATGGGAAGTGGGGGGGAAGACAGAAACCCAGAACATATGGAAATATATACGGGGGGTCCTGTTGTTTGTGCGTATTTACTTGTGTGCTTGTGGGCCCGTCCACCGCCGAGAAGAAGACGCCCGGATTTGTAGCAGGCCATGCCGTCGGAGATCCGGGCCCGGGGGGTCCGGGGGGCCCGTCGCCGCCGGGCGCGGGCCGCCCGCCGAGCGCCTCCCGGCAGGACCTGTACCTGAAGGCGGCCGCGCTGGTCGCCTTCCTGTCGCAGTGGGCGAGCGACGCCCCGACGCTGGTGGAGCGGATAGAGCAGCTGTGGACCGGCCGGGCCGGCCCCTCCCTGCTGTGCGTGAGGGGGAGGGGGAGGAGGAGGAGGAGGAGGAGGAGGAGGAGGAGGAGGAGGAGGAGGAGGAGGAGCGAGGAGGGGGAGGAGGTAGACCGAGGAGAGAGGAGGCGGAGGAGGAGGTGAGGAGGAGGAGGAGGAGGAGGAGGAGGAGGAGGAGGGAGGAGGCGGCGGAGTCGGAGGAGGGAGGAGGAGGAGGAGAAGGAGGAGGAGGAGGAGGAGGGGGACGGGGATGCCGAGGAGGAGGAGGAGGCGGAGGAGGAGGAGAGGTAGGTGGAGGGGAGGAGGAGGAGGGAGGAGGAGGCGGAGGAGGAGGAGGAGGAGGAGGAGGAGGAGGAGGAGGCGGAGGGAGAGAGGAGGAGGGAGGAGGAGGGGGAGGAGGAAGGAGGAGGGAGGAGAGGAGGAGGAGGAGGAGGAGGAGAGGAGGAGGAGGAGGAGGAGGATGTGGGTTCGCGTCGTGCCGACCGGCGGCGACCCAGCCGACGGCGTGCAACGTTGAGCGCCGCTGGCGACCCAGAGTCGGTCGACGTTGAACGACCTGACGTTTCGGAAACGGTCGTTCGTTTCAGGTGGATCGATCCCCGTGGTGTCAGAAACCAACGCCGAAGTCGGCACGACACGAACCTGGTCGGAGGATCGCTCCGCATCGCCGATGCATCAGCGATGTGGCTCGATGCGGAGCCCGATCTTGGCCACGCCGACGGCGGCGATGCTTCGCCGACGTCGCCGATGCATCGCCGATGCGTCGCCGATGCGTCGGCGATGTATCGGCGATGCGGCGCGATCCTCCGGCCCCATCTACTCGGACCCCGTTTGGGAGGCCTCTATCCCTCGAGACCGTTCTTTTATTCCCTGGCGAAAGCGGGCGTGACCGGGGGGTAGGGGTCAAGGGGGGAGGTGGTGGTCACGTCACGATTCGCGCCGGCGCCGTCTGGGAATGCCCAGGGATGGCCAATTCCCGCACGGCGCCGGCGCGAATCGTGACGTGAACAGGGTGGGGTCAGTCACGGGCGTTATCGCGAATCATAAACATGGGTTCTTGCTCTGGCTTTTTGCTTGTTTTTTGCACTGCGCAGACTCAGGTGGGCGAACCGTAGCGTCAAGAGAGAAAGCAGATGATGTACCGACTCCGGCGCAGTGGCCGACAAATTAGACTTAAGTCGGGCACGTCCCTCTACGTGCTGGGAAAAAATCAAGACTAGTCAAACAATACTCCAGAGACAATTTTTCGTGCTCTTTATCATCATACAACAGTTTATTTAATCGCTTCGCTCATTCCGCCGGCCCTCGAGCGCTCTATGGGGCCTCTTTGAAGCCTCTTGGGGGCCTCTTTGGGGCCTCCTAGGGGCCTCTTGGGGGCCTCTTGGGGGTCTCTTGGGGCTCCTTGGCGGCGTCTTGGGCCTCTTGGGTGGCTCTTGGGGGCCTCTTGGGGCGGGGTAGTCGAGTGCACCCCCCTCGGAGGCCACGATCCTCGTGAGGGGTGTCGAAAAAAGGCCCTCAAAACCGTCTCTGATCCGACCCTGTCGGGGATCGCCCGGGGTACTTTTCGCCGGGGGACCCCCAGGGGCCGCCCCGCGCGCGCGAACTAGAAGTATTATTTAGCAGTTACCGGAGATCTTAGCACGCCTCTGGCCCGTTGGGCCGGCGAATTTTTGATTGTCTTTTCATTTAATCGTTTCGCTCACTCCGCCGGCCCGTATTGTGCCATCGCAAGCGTTTGCCTGTACGTTCGTGCCCTCTTGGGGCCTCTTGAGGGCCGTTTGGTGGCCTCTTGGAGCCTTTCGTGGGGCCTCTCGGGGGCCTCATGGGACCTCCAGGGGGCCTCCTGGGCTCTTTTGGGGGCCTCGCGGGGCCTCCCGGGGGCCTCGTGGGGCGGAAGGCTCGAATCGGCGGTTCGTGTTCCCCCCCTTGGGCGTCTTGGGGCTAGGCGATCTTGGGCGCCTCTGGGGCCGTTTTTGGGCCGTCTTTCACTGCCTGGGGGCCCTTTTGGGGGCCTCTCGGGACGTCTTGGGGCGGTCTTGGGGGCCTCTTGGGCCATCTTGGAGCGTCGGAAAGCCGTGAAGGCGAGAAGGCTGAAAACCTTTTGAAACCTATGGAAAATCAATGATTTTTGTATCTAGGTACCTCTTGGGAGGCATCTTGGAAGCCTCTTGGGCCATCTTGGCGGCCTCTTGGGCCGTCTTGAGGCTATCTTGGGCGGCTTGGGGCGATTTTGGGGCGTCTCTGGTCCCTCTCGGGGCAGTCTTGGGGCGTTCTTGGGCCCGTGTGGCCGCCTCTTGGGCCGTCTTGGTGCCGTCTTGGGCCATCGTGGGGCCATCTTGGGAGCCTCTTGGGCTGTGTTGGGGCGGTCGTGGAGGCCTCTTGGGTCACCTTGGAGTGTCGGGAAGTCGCAACGGGGAGAAGGCTGAAAACAATCCAAAACCCAAAATAAAATCAATGATTTTTGTCTCGTGGGGACCTCTTGGGAGGCCTCGTGGAAGCCTTTCGGGCCGTCTTGGCGGCCTCTTGGGCCGTCTTGAAGCCATCTTGGGCGGCTTGGGGCGATTTTGGGGTGTCTCTAGCCTCTCGTGGGGCCATCTTGGGGCGTTCTTGGGCCGTGTTGGGCGCCTCTGGGGCCGTCTTGGTGCCCTCTTGGGCTGTCTTGGGGCCCTCTTGGCCATCTTGGGGGCGTGTTGGGCCGTCTGGAGGCCTCTGGGGCAGTTCTGCACGCTGTGAACCCCGAAACGTCGTACATGCGAACCATGTACGTTTTCCGCAAAAAGGAAAGGGGACAATTTGTGCTTGTTGGGCCCTCTTGGAGAGCCTCTTTAAGCTCTCTTGGAGCTTTTCTGAGGCCTCTGGGGCCATCTGGAGACCACCTTGAGCGTCTTGGAGCGATCCTTCAACGACTCGGGGCCTCTTGGCCCGTGTAGGGGGCGTCCCGGCGCCCTCTTGGCGCGCTGCTGGAGCGCCCTGGGGGAGTCTGCCGGGCATCGGCCGGGCATCGCCTGGGCATCGGCCGGGGTACTTTTCGTCCAGGGGTCCCCAGGGGCCGCCAAGCGCGCACGAACTAGAAATATTGTTAACCTGTTACCAGAGAACTTAGCACGCCTTTGGCCACTTGGGCCGGCGAAATTTTTCTTCCAAAATTCCCGTGTAGGAGGACATGCCCGACCTAAAACTCGACCTTTGGGAGGGCAGCAGCAAGTAGAAAGGCAAGGAGGAAAAGCCTTGCATGGTGAGCCCGCTGGGGCATGGCGTAGGCGCTCACACAGGCAGGGATTGAGGAGTCGAAGCGATGCGCTTACGCTTAGATCGAATATGAACTCGCCGGCGAGTGAGGGGGATAAGTGAGAAGGAGAAGGCCTTCTGCGAAGGCAGCGGGACTTCTTAGAAACCCTCGCGCCTTCTGATCAATTTTCTGTGTCTTCGGGGAAGGCTTGGACAACTTCTCATAAGGCCGGGGGGACTTCCGAGCCTTCTGAGAAGGCCCGCCCCTTCTCATTTTCCCCCCAGGCTCGCCGCCGACGAACGGACGATCGAAGTTAGGGAACTATTCAGCTGCCTGCGGCTGTGCAACAGCGCAGCAGGAAGGAGACCGAGTGTAGGGACAGTGCAATTCTGACGATTGGTCTGAACTGGGACAGGTCGTGAACTCGACCTCGTCTTCGTCTGCGTTATAGGGGGAGGTCGAGGTCACGCCCCCTTGCAGTTCAGCAAATGAAATGAGTTTGAGGCGGGTCGTGAACTAGACCTCATCTTCGTCCGCGGGGTAATGAGGAGAAGGAGGATAATAATGAATCATATTTTTCATAAGAAGAAGAAAAGGAATAATAATAAGAAATTATGAATAATGATAGATTCATAAGAATAGCAAGAATAATGCTAGTACGATTAACACTAAACATATTAATAGTACGAATGACAAGAAAGCTATCAAAAAGAAGAGGAGGAGGAGAAGGAGGAGGAGGAAGAGGAGGCTGGATGAGGAGGAGGAGGGATCAGAGGAATCAGAGTGATCAGAGGGATCAGCCCGACGCGAAGGTCCAGAGCGAGAGGCCCCGACCCCGCGGCTCTCGGGCGGCTCCGCGGGCAGCACGCCGTCGGGCAGGCGGCGCTCGAAAGCGCGGCCCTCGCAGAAG